AACATTATTGCGAACGGGGAGCATTCACTAAACGGTGGTTTGTACATTTATTACTGAAGGTACCGTAACATATCATAACTTATTTGTAAGAATATGGCGTCACGTGTCCGGCATTATTTTGAGCTAAGCTCCTTGGGTAATGTAGTGTCGCCGGTCAGCACTAGCCAGCAACAGGGGGGATTCCCTGTGAGTGTGTTCCCTCCAAGTGGTGGGTTGTGGTTTGAGGAATGTCAACTAAAGGTTCGAGGCCCTGGAAGGCTGATGCGTCAACCAGGCCCTGCCGCTAGGTGCAGTGGCTGATTGATGCAGGCGGATGTTTAGGGAGCTCTGAGTTCCCGAAGTCGAGGTTAGTTGCCTCCAAGTACGCTGCTTATGGCGTGTGTAGCGTGATGTGGGTATTGGAGCTGTCATGTTGGTAGTGGAGCGCAACGTGTGCCCAATTGTCGAGCGGGCCCTGTAGGGTGGCTGGTCTTCGGTCCCCTCCAGTGGGGGGCCTGGATAGGGCAGCACAAAACCAGAATACACCACTGTGAGTGTCTGTTAGTGAGTGTGTGCGTGTGTCTGTTAGTGAGTGTGTGTTTGCCTGTGAGTGTGTGTGTCTGTTAGTGAGTGAGTGTGTGTCTGTTAGTGAGTGTGTGTTTCTGTTAGCTAGTGAATGCCTATCTGTCAGTGAATGTGTGTGTGTGTATTTAGAAGGCGGAGCAGGGGGGAAGGGTTGGGTGGCGGTTGCGCGGGTGGGGGTAGCGCGGGGGGGGTGCCTGAGTTTTGTCCTGCCTAGGTCAGCACAGAACCAGGATACACCACTGGGTAGGAACATAGAGTCCCAATGTGTGTGGCTATTGGGCTTCAATGTAGAGCTCTGAGATTGAACAGAACGTGGGTAACGTTACATATAAACTTATAGGTGAGTGATAATTGGCAATCGCCCACCCAGGGAGCAACACTGCTTCTATTTGTCCATCACCGTGGAAGGCCCTCCCCGTCCCACCCTCCGACCAGGCTACGGCCGCGTCAGCCTCCTGCCTGCAGCCGCAGGTGGAAACAGGTGGGCTAAGGCGCCCGCCCCTGTCCCCTGCCCACACTCCTTAGACCACAATCCACGGTGTCATGAGAGCAAGCACGTCACATTATTGTGCAATAGCATTTAGTCCTCTTGGGATGTGGGGACCGTAGCACAAGCACATTATCCGCCCCAATCTGTCAGTCCCGGCCATGCACACTGTGGTATCAGGGCACCATTGACCAATCCGACGGTGACAGTTCCGGATCAGGCATGGTCCGCAGGGTCTATTAGCAGCTAGTGTCCAGCAGGCGGATTCCCCATATTCATCGCCCAGCCGATCCACACCCCCCCTGCATCCCCCAATTTACTCTAAGGCCTGCAGACCCCCGGACTGAGTCAGCCCCCCCCTTAGCGCCAAGAGTGGGGGGACGGAAGGGCCAAGGTGCCTCCTAAGGCCCGGCCTCCCCAGAATAGGATCCCCGTGGCGGGACAAGCAAGCTCAAGTCACCACTCGGCAACTGGGAATGACTGTGTGCATGGGGCAGAGCAGCGCAGCAGCACCCTCAGCTTGTACGTGTATGAGAGCAAGGGGGACCAAGTGGTGTAGTGTGATGCAGTGAGCCGACAGGCTCAGAGTACTGGAGGCGGCAGCCCCGGGTCAGCAATGATCTTAGCGGCTGGTAGGTGCTGTCGAACATTTTAGTCGGAGTCTCCTCGCAGGCGAGCTGTCTGCATCAGTGTCCCCATGAGGGGTAATACCCCACGCTTTTAGCTTTCGTACTCCATCTTCCGGAGACATAATGGGTTTGAGACTGCCTTCTCTCATCGCCAGGAGCTTCGTCGGGGAAACCCCACCTGTAACATATCTCATTCGCCCTGTAACATATCTCATCGTGACAGGTGCGAATTCCTTCCTCCTGCGGAGTGTAACGGCTGAGATATCTGTAAAGAGGTGTACTGTGGGGTAGTCCTCCGGTGGCTTTGCTTTGTTTCTGCTTGCCCTTAAGATGTGCTCCTTAACATAATAGTAGTGTACTCGTATGAGCACATCACGAGGTGTGGTGTCTGGTAAGTGGCTCGGGCATGGGACCCGGTGGGCACGGTCCACTAGCAATATGTTCGCCGGGACCTCTGGAGCATAGGCATGGAGTAGGCTTCTTACATAGGCCAGTAGGTCCGCTGGTGTTACAGACACTGGCACTCCTCTCAGCCTGAGAATGTTTCTCCTTGCTCGATCTTCAAGGTCTGCTATCTTTTACTCCATAAGTTAAAGCTTGCCTGCCAGACTTTCCATGTGTTCCGCCAGGTCGTTATGTGCCTTTGCAAATTCATCCATCTTGGACTCCATGTGTGCTGTGTGGCGGCCTAGTTCCTGAACATCTTTGCGGAGGGAGTCCATGGAGTGCTGCCAGGAAGTAATCGGCTTGTGTGATAACGCGTGCAGAGCCTGTGTGAGGTAGCTCAGGGTAAGTACTTCTTTTTTGCTGGAGGGTTGGTGAGAGGTTTCCTTCGACTGCTCCGTTGGCGCCATCTTGGATAGGCGCTTGTAGGCCGATCGCAGCTAGTTGCGCTTTCTGGTTGAAGAAATTTAGTTTTTCTGCTTTGGCAGCTTTCTTCTTTGATTTCTGTAGTGACATCTTTAGGGCATATCGTCCATTAGTATTATGTGTGCTAGAATTGTTATGGATTGGGAGCTCGGGTGCCGGAGCTGAGGATTGTGCATCCATCTAGTCCGACGGTTAGCCACGCCCCTCCCGCATTTGTAACTTTTATACAAAAGAATTTTAAAGAAACAAAAATTAAAAAAATAAATAGAAAATAATGCAGATGGATGATGGTTGAAGTTAAAATCTGCTCTTTTAATTTCCCTGCGTGTGGTAAACCTTAGCACAGTTACCAATGCACAGACCGGGCTGAGAGGAGCAGTCAGGGCAGTAGAAGCTGGTTTCTGTTCTTATGTCCCTCAGACAACAGACCCTGCATCTCTCCTGTGGGGCTTTTTTCTGGGGTTTGTGGAATCCTAAAAAAAGCTCTGAAACTAGCTGAAGCTGACATGTTAAGAACATACATTTCAGTTCAGCATTTGGTAAATGGTACAGGTTATAGGCATTGTGGGGAGCCATCTGCATTAAATAAATGCCCACTTCTTCCTGCTATACGGTTTAATGCAAACTGCTTGGCACTCGCCTGGTTTCCCCTCTGCCACAGACTGTGACCCTACGACTATGCTGATTATTGAAGGTGGTCAGCATGGACACTTCCTTCTTGTCCTTATACTTCAATGCCAGAAGTAATAGTGTGATACTGTTATAGAAATTGTCTATGTACAGGTGATGCTCCTTGTTTATAAGGAGGTTGCATACAATTTTCCAACTTGTCCTTTACTTTCTGGGCAACTTGGGGGATCTTGTGGCTGTCCTTTCCCTCATATGCGTAAAAGCTATATATATCCACTACAACATGCATAGAGTTTGTACAGTTTTTACACCATATCTTGCCATTTCACATGGTATGAACTGCTTGAATCCCTGTCTACGCTGAAACTTCATCGGGGACTCGCATATGTAGATGTTTTTTGATTGGGGATATACAGGCGTTCAAACTTCTGATTAAAGTGGGAAATTAGAGGGTGAATTTTAAGCAATTTGTAATACTGCTGATTACTTCGTTGTAGGCGCTATTATTGTTAAAGTGTATATACTGCAGTAATGTTTCATATCTGTGTCTCTTCGTAATTTGTGAAAAACAAAATGGGGGTACAGCAAATAGGAATAATATGTTTTTTTATAATCCTCTTTAAAATTGTGAGAGCTCAGAATTGTTTAAATTCACGGACACTTTTGGGCTATTCCGCTGCTTTCCAGGCAATAAACCTTCTAAGCATGGTCGTGTTGAACTTTAACCCCTTAGTGACCAGGCCTTTTTTTTTTAAATTCTTGCCGCTGGGACCAAGGCTCTGTCACATCCTGCTCTGTTCTGTGGAGATGCCTAGCTTTGGCTTCTGGTATCCAGTACTCTTTTTACAATCCTTGTTTAGTTTTTCTTGGTTTTTCAGGTTTTCTAGTCTGTCTGGTTTTCTTTTATGCTGGGTTTTCTGGGTTCATTCCTATTCCGTCCCTGGAATTCCCAGTCTCCAGGTTTCCTTTAAATGTTTGTTTTATGTTGCCACACCTGTTTGTTTTCCTTCATTACTTTTGTTTCAGTCCGGACCTGCAGCAGTGTTTCAAGTCTCTGCCCTTTCTTACAGGTAAGTGCTATTGTGGTTTAGTATGGTTCTTTTAGCGAACATTAGGCAGTGTAGGACCTGCCAGATATGGGGTACATTGGCGTTGTTGGCAGGCTTATGCAATGTATGATCATATAATGTGACTAAATCCCCATACTTTTCATATATAGTGCTTAGTTATGTCTCCTTTTGTTTTGCCTTGCATCTCTGGTCTTGTTTTATTTTGTCTTGTATTCCCAGTTCAGGTACAGTCTTGTCTTGCCCTGTTCATGTTTCGCTCATGTCTTGTGTACTTGTTCTGGATTCTGCTTTCTGTCTTGCTCCGGTTCTGAGTTCTTCTAGTCTTGTCTTGTATTCTCAGTTCATGTACAGTCCTATCTTGCCCTGTTCAAATTTCCCTTGTGTCTTGTGTACATGTTCTGGGTTCAGCTTCCTATCCTTCTCTGGTTCTGGGTTCTACTAGTTCTGTCTGGTTTTGTGAACTAGCCTTGCCTTGTTTCTGTACTGGTTACATTCTTGCTGCAGAGCCTCCCTATTCAGCTCCTGGGAGGTCTGCTTAGTTCCTATCTTCAAGTTCCTGGGATCCGCATAAGCTGCATCAGGGTTCTGGTATGTGGCCGCACAAACGCTGGTGCTCAACACCAGGGGGCGTGTGGTTGCCATGCACCAGGCCCTGTAATCCACCTCCACACTGTGACTCCTACTCTGAACATCAGGCATACTGGGTCCCGGTCCTCGCACCGCCGTCCGGACAGTGTCTGGGTCCCGGGCACCGGACCGCCACCCGTGACAGGCTCTTTTTACATTCCTGTGGTGTTTGTGTTTAGCTGTGATTTTCCTCTTACTCATTTACTGTACCCACACATTATATACTGTTTTTCTCACCATTAAACGGTCTTTCTAAAGATACCATTATTTTCATCATATCATATAATCTACTATAAAAAAATATAACATATGATGAAAAAATTGAAAAAAAAACACACTTTTTGGAACTTTGACCCCCAAAATCTGTTACGCATCTACAACTGCCAAAAAACACCATGCTAAATAGTTTCAAAATTTTGTCCTGAGTTTAGAAATGCCCAATGTTAGCATGTTCTTCGCTTTTTTGGAAAGTTATAGGGCTATAAGCACAAGTAGCACTTTGTTATTTCCAAACCAATCTTTTTCAAAATTAACGCAAGTTACATTGTAACACTGATAACTGTCAGGAATCCCTGAATAACCCTTCACATGTATATATTTTTTAAAAGAAGACAACCTAAGGTAATAAACCTGGGGTATTTTGAATCTTTTTATGCAGCCATTTTACCACCAATCTATCACAATAAAAAAAAAAAAAAAAAATTGGTGTTTTTTTTTTTGAGACACATAGCAATTTAAGAATATATGTACTGAGAACTTTAAGGGTTACTGCCAAAGAACACCCCAATATGTGTTCAGCATCATCTCCTGAGTACAGGGATACCACCCATGTATAGGTGCGTCGGCTTCTCTGAGGGATAAATGACCTTATTTGGAGGGTGCGCTTTCCAGTTTTCCAACTTGGAATTTTCACAGTAAGTCATCATGCACCCTTATGCCATTTGGGACATTTTTGAAGCCGGACAATATAATGTACCCCTATCAAACCATATATTTTTGAAAAGTGGTGGTATTTTAACACTTTCCATGCATTTATTCTACCACCAGTCTTTGTCAAACGTTTGGGTAATAATTTTTTTGTTATTTTTCACACACATTCTACTTTAGGCATGGATTCTCAGCTCCTATTAGGTGCTACTGCCAAAGAACACCCCAATATGTGTTTAGCATCATCTCTGGAGTACAGCGATACCACCCATGTATAAGTGTGCGGGGTTCTCTGGGGGCTAAAAGACCTTATTTGGAGGGTACACATTCCAGTTTTCCAACTTGGAATTTTCAGTTAGTCATCATGCACCCATGTCCCATTTGGACATTTTTGAAGCAGGACAATATAATTTACCACCATCAAAACATATATTTTTGAATAGTAGACACACTAGGGTATTTAAAATGCTGGTATTTTAACACTTTCCATGCACTAATTCTACCACCAGCCTTTGTCAAACTTTTGGATAGTCGTTTTTTTGTGGGGTTTTTTTTTTCTCACATTGTACTTTGGGCATGGATTTTTAGTTCCGTTTATGCGTTACTGACAAAGAAACACCCAATATGTGTTCAGCAACATTACCCTAGTACAACAGTGCCCCCAATGTACAGGTTTTATGGGCTTTTAAAAACTTACAGGGGTCAAATATAGGGCTTTCCCCTTTTCCATGTTTGCACATTGAAATTTGCCAGATTGGCTTGCTGGGCCTATGTTGCCTTTGAGACCATATAGCAGCCCAGGAATTAAAATTAACCCCATCATGGCATACCATTTGTAAAAGTAGACAACCCAGAGTAATTCAAAATGGGGTATGTCCAGTCTGTTGTAGTAGCCACTTAGTCACAAATGCTGGCCAAAGTTAGCATTTTTCTTTGTTTTTTTGCATTGTTTTACACAAAAACTGCACTTTTACTGGTGATTTCATCATCTGAATACGTTTTACTGATTTAGAACACTCATATTTGTGTTCAACGAAGTCTCCCGAGTATAACAATAAGCCCCATGTGCAGGTTTTATGGTGTTTTGGAAAGTTACAGTGTCAATATAGGGCTTGCCCGATCTAGTTTGCCAGATTGGTTTGCAGGACCTTGCCTTTTTGAGACCATATGGTAGCCCAGGAATGTGAAATAACCCCATCATGGCATACCATTTTCAAATGTAGACAACCCAGGGTATTCCAAATGGGGTATTTCCAGTCTTTTGTTGTAGCCACTTAGTCACAAACGCTGGCCAAAGTTAGCAGTTTTATTTGTTTTTGTATAAATGTTT